TTTGGACTGAGGGAAGTTGCTGCATGTAAGACACATCAAGGGACACCGAGGAGAGACTTATATGGGATGTTTAGGGGAGGAGCTAAAGGTGGAGAAAAGGCTGAATTTAGGTAACTTGAGGAGGAACAAGTGCAGGGTAGATAGGGAGGTAAGGGGATAAAAGGGCCAGTTGGAGACAAGTAATTTTCTGGTTAGTACATTTGTCTAATCTGTTTCTAGTCAGTACTATCTATTGTCTCTTCATGTTGAACGATTTGTCTAATCTGTTTCTAGTCAGTACCATCTATTGTATCCTCATGTTGAACTACATTCTAACTCCTTCCTGGCTCTCTGTTCAGTGTGTGGGGCATGTAGGGGTCTGAGTACCAGCAACTGGAGTCAAGGTTGTCCATCCATGGGGCCTGGGTGTCTGTGGTGCCAGCAACAGGAGAGACCTGAGTGAGTGGACTTAAGTACCAGCCGTGGGAGTGGAACTGAGGGTCACAGGGGTCTGTATGTGTGTTGGGCCAACTGCAGGCCTGGGATCACTGGCCAGAGCACTTGGGTATCAGCAACTGGAACATCCAGATGAATTAAAGCAAATGTCAACCACTGGAGTGGGACCAGGAGTCAGAGACCTGTGTGCCTGTGGTGCCAGCACCTGGAGCATATGCTGTCAGAGATCAAACTGGACTAGTTGTCGAGCAGGTGGTGTAGCCTGGGAGCCATATATATATTTATATATGGGTCTTGCTAGCAGACTTCTGTCCTGCTCAGCCAGAGCAGGGAGTGGGCTAAGGCTGGTGGTGCTGGCTGGCTGTGAATGCTCTGTATGTGGTGGGTGTGGATGCTTACCAGGAACACATCTTCAGCCTTGCTGCTGGTTGAGTCTGGGGAGTGGAGCTGCAGCAGCCTCACCACTCTCTGGCTGTGTTATCAACATATTTTCCCCTGAAAGAAGCAAGAAAAACTTAGGCAATATTGGAAAAATTGCTCTTCCTCAGAGGTCACTCTTCTAAAGGCATTTTATTCAGTGTACTTTGGACTCTAGGAACCTGGCCTCAACAATTCTTACAAGTCCAAAGCAACCCTTCCATAAAATTGACAGCTTTAAAAAGTAATAACCATATTCTCATTTACCTCATGGCATGAAAAATCTATTTTATCAAGGTATTTACAGTGAGTAACTCATGTGCTGTCCACAACCTGTAAGATGCCTAAGCAAACACCTCTCTCCTTAACATAAAGAAGTGTACTGACTCAGTTGAACCCAAAAGTATTTCTGAAAGTATTTTCATGTGAACACAGTCTGATATAAAGACTGAATGGCATCTTAAAACAAAGGGTGCCAATTTATTGTTTCTTTGGTGACCAGTGAATCTAAAATAATTGCACTACAGAAACAATCAGTTTAAAATAACCATCCCCATATGGCTAAATATTCTAATTGGCTGTCTAGAATAATTCACAAACTGGAATAAACAATTTTCTGGTTAATGGAACACAGTATTTTAGTACATGTCCACAAGGAGTTTTGACATCTTTATTTCAGAGCCTCTCCTGATAAAGCTTTTCCATTTGGCAAGAGGGGATTTTTCCCATGACACTTAAGGTCCTTCCCAGTGATTTATTTTTGCATTTGTAGCTATCTGCTGAAACAAGCCATTATTCATAGACATTATCCATGTGGAAATGAACAAACAATCTGCTGATCATAGACACCTCTGAAAAAAATAAGAGTCCATCACTTGTTAACAATTTAGGATGAGGAGGTGACTGGATTAGGATTTGTTGGATTTGTTGTTTCTTTTATATTGGTTTTCTAATTCTCTGTTGTGGGTCAAAAGAAAAAAACCCCAATACTTTTATTCAACATTTTAATGGCAATTGTGTACAGTATATAAAATACATGCAGATAAAGACTTGCTTGTAGCTGAAATCTTGCATTTGAAATTTAGTCAATGTGAAATTGTCCCTCTAAAGAAAAAACAATTTGTTAAACTGATGGTAACTATACTTTGGAGTCAATTTATCCTACATCTGTTTATTGAATTTATCCTTGGTTCCATCTTACTGACAGCATTCTTTAAGTCACACCAAAGCACCTCAACCCACTATGTATCTGAATGCATCTTAGTAACTAAGATACGTTTTAATTAAGAAAACAACTGGCTTTGCTTTGCATGTGCTGAAGTGACTGCGAGGCTCATAGGAAACTGACTCATAACGGAAAGCTTTCCCCAGCCTGTCCTGTATACAGGCACAGTTGCCAAGAAGTTATCTGGGTTCATTTCCATAGTAACCAATCAATACAGCTGTTTATTTTCAAAAGGCCTTGCACTTGAACTAAGAATCTTATAAACTTAGATGTTACTGTTAAACGCTCTGATCATTTGACTCTTTTTTTCAGGATGAGTGGCATAAGTAGCTGGTGTTCTTCTTTACTCCAAAATTACCTTAATTAAAATATGTCAAATTTTCCCTTTCTATAATGGAGTTAGAAGAATGTTCAGAGGGAGTGTGGGCAGTTGGTTGGGTTTGGCTTTTATTTTTCCAGATTGTGTACAAATGTTGGAAATATTTTGTGATCTTGGTGCCAGTGAAAGACACCAATGCTACCTTTTTTGACATCCTTATGAGAAGGAAGAGGTATTCCTGGTTCTATTGATTTTATTTTTAGAAGAATTAGAGCATCAATACGTACAACTGAGGCATTTTTACTGTCATTTTTACTTGGCTGTTTTAAGAGAACATAAAATCCTGATTCATCCTGTTTAATGTTCATTAAATTACTTGCCTGAATAAATAAATTTTCCTCACCTCCTCCTTATTACACAATAACAGTTAACTGCATTCAAGTTCACCTTCCTTCTCAGTCTTTTTAGTCTAACAAGCTCCCAAAAGTTAGGGTAACTTAGGGTTGAGGCTATGAGCAAGTCTGTTATCTTTCAGTATCAGTGAAGGCCTCTTGCTGCTGATGCTCCCAAGAGGATGTTAGTGTCATTTCATAGGTTTCTGGCATTCTCAGTCTATCCTGACAGAAATACTGACAGAAGGATTAGAGTACTACAGTGAATTTAATGAAATAAGGAAGTGACATAAATACCCTTTAACTATCTGAAGCCTACAGTTGTATCTAGACAGCTCAGAAAAAAAGGTTTCTCTCCTTTTTTTTTTTCCTGCTTGTGGTAAAACTGCTTTTGATGTGGTGGTGTTTCTAAGACAGAAGAAGGCCTTTTATTTTTTCAGTTTTGGGATAAGCTCAAAATGTTACTTAGGAAAAAAACTGAACTGTAAGAAAATCAGTTCTAGAGATTTCATTTTTAAGTTACTTGAGTAAGGTTAGACCATTGTCACCCATGGATAAACAGAATACAGTGTTCTCAGGAGTTTTGTTATCTTGATGACTATTCTTTTTTACCTGAGAGTTCAGCAACTATACCATAAGTGTAACAATAGTTATTCCTAGACCTTCTACATGTCCCAAATGTTAACAGTTATCAAATAGCCCTTTAAGGGTATAATTTACTTGATGACTTCTTGCCTGAGCCTGTTTCAATAGAGGATGTGACTATTTGCCATTTGCCTTTTTTGAATTCTGGTTCTATTTTGGATTTAAATAACTTGTATATTGGCAATTTGGGATTTCTTTTTTTCCCCCAAAGCACAGGAAAGTCTGCAGTGTAAAACATAAACGGTAGATTGTGGTGTACAGAACATGTTCCTTTTAGGTCACATGCTTGAATATGACTCAGTGTTGTATCATCAGAATCTCTCAGTCTGTTGTGGTCGTTAAACTGACTCATTTTAGGCAGGCTAGTTTATTCCTACCTTAGGAAGTCAGGGTGCCAGTGAGCACTGTAGTTGGCAGTCTCACCAGCACAGCAAAGGGAGTTTTGTGAGTCCCCTGCAATTTGTCATTTCTCCAGAGCTGTGATGATCTCTGCCTCCAGTTTCTGCAGAACCATAAAGTTCTGTCTCTTGTTAAAGATGTCAAACTGGTTCTTCAATAATAAGCTGTTGTAAGATGTTAATATAAAACATAGGAATGCATGTATTACAGAAATGAAAGAGTAAGATTTTTTTGCTTCTGCTTCTCTTATTTGAAGGCTGTTCTAGGAAACTTGCTCTGTGGTTTGAGACCTTCTAACTTCCAGTTTTAAATGGGTGTTTAGTTATGCTTTATTTTAGTCCTAACCACTTTTCATTTGACTTAGTTATTTGGTCTCTCAAGTATTTGAATCACTAGTGTTTTTTTTATTATATGTAATTTTTTCTTGTAAGATACAGTCATTCTCCTTGTACCTGTTCATTTTGGAGTCTGTTCTTGCTCTAACAGTTACCCAAACAGAATAATGTGTTCTGCCTGAGCCTTATAAAATGACATTAATATAGCTGAAAGCATCCTACATTTTGCCTTTTTCTCAGACTGTTACCCTCCTGTGAGGAATAAATCTATTCAGATATGTCACCTTAGTTTGCTCTCAAATGATAAGCTCCCAGTATGTAGCTGAAATTCTTGTTTGCCCCAAGTGTGTTCATTTCTGTCTGGTTATTTCACATCATCTCCTTTCTACTTTTCCAGGCCTCAGATTTTTCTAGTTCTGCTTTTATGATACTCCCTTTCTCTGTATTTAAAACCTACTTGTCAAAGATGGTATCTTGAGCACATTGCAAAGCTCAGCAGCTTGGAAGGCAGTGCCTGGGAGCTAATGTTCAGGAAGACTACACTCTCCTGAGGCAAACTGGAGAAATTACTGTCTCATTCATTTAGAAAAACACATGGCTGTTGAATTTTTCATGAGGCCTAATATTGTTCTCAAGGTCTGAAACAGTTATTAATCATGCTACACAAAGAGAAGAATGGAGGATTATTATTATTTAGGCTTTGGAACAGATTTTGCATGAAATGACCAGTCTACAAACAGTGGAACCAGTGTTCATTCTTGAGCTGTCTCATTGCAGTTTATGGTTCTGAATGTGTGTGCAACTAATACTAAGCACATGCTCTCTCTTTGCAGGGAGGTAGTACAGGCAAATTGTGTACGATGGAAGAAAAAGTTCTTATTTATGTGTAAAATCAGTGCCAGTGCCACGACAGGGATTCTGGATACTTGCACTTGCAGGGTGTCTGTAAGGAAGGTAAGTAGTTCTTTCTCCCTCCTCTCTTCTTTCCTTGCTCTTTCTTCACTTGTTTTAATTTTTGAATGTCTGATAAACTTCATAAAGCAAATTTTAGCTGCAACCATACCAGCTATTCCTTTGGCCAAAATTCTCTAGTAATCTTATTAATTACCTTAGTTGACTAATTCATTGGGCTTTTAAATTCTTATTGAAAAGAATTATTCCAGCAGGGCAGCAGAGGAATTGCTCAGCAGTGTAAATCAAATCAGCAAGCAGCAGTAAACTTAGAAGCCTTGAACTGTGCTAAGTACCAGAATTTTGTACACAGCACATCCCACCTTTGCAGATACTCTGCAGGTTTAGCAGGAGCCAAACACTGCTTGGCATCAGGCACTCACCCTTCTCCCTCTCCACAAGATGAGTCTCCCCTTGGCCTGCACCAAAGGCAGTATGAACACTAAATTCTAAATGACAAAGGACAATCCAGCAAATGTGTGCTGAGATGGTCTTAAACTAAGATAAGTACTCACTTTTCTAAAACACCAAACCTGAGTCAGTATCTTTAATGGATTAATGGTGTGTCCTTTTTCCTTCTTGTTTCCCCTAGGAATTAAAAGGAGGAAAGGCATATGCAAAGGTAAATAGAGATGTATCTAAGTTTGCCTACAGATAAGCTTTTTTTAATTGTCATTTTTTATCCTTTTAAAGTAATTCCAGAATAGTATAATAATAACTGTGGTTTCATTATGTACATTACAGTGACACAGTGCTGTTGGAACTCTCAATCACTGTGTTTAATAAGTATGTGACAATATTATACTGACAAAATTTTTTCTTTCAATTTGGTAGGTGGAAAGGGTCAATAAAAGTAAACCCTCTGCATGTGTTTGCATTAAAAAATCAAGAAAATTTTCCTTGTTCTTTTTTTCTCTTGACACTTTTTCACTGAAAATAGAACTATGCAGAATTTGACACTGGAAGTTTGTTTTCTGCTTTTTGCTTTGAGCCACTCCCTTCAATGGGCATCCTCTTACTCATACTTGAGAGAAACTGCTGTTGAGTAGCACTCAATGTGGTATGTAGCAAGCACCTTCATTTAGTCATCTGTTTGCTTCTAACTTTTTCATTTTCCCCTCTGAACAGCTGGGATTTGCAGATCTAAATCTAGCAGAGTTTGCTGGATCGGGAAATACCACTCGTCGCTGTTTACTGGAAGGTTATGATACCAAAAACACAAGACAGGACAACTCCATTCTCAAAGTAAGTTGTTTCCTTTATCATACTGAAACTAATAAAGCAGAGAATTAGTGGTATTATTATTAAGCACTTAATGACGAAACTAATAAAGCAGAGAATTAGTGGTGTTGTTATTAAGCACTTAATGAAATTTAAAACTTACTTGCTGAACTTCTTTCCAGAAGGAAAGCTATTTAAAGTAAAAACCAAGTCTTGTTTAGAGGCAGTCACTAAAATCTGTGCAGTCAAAAATAGAATTTGTCCTACTCTGAAATGGAGCTGGATGGCTGTAAGAGAAAAGCTTTCAAAAGGTGTTCCTATTCTAACAGAGGCTGAAAAAAGAGCAAGTTAATACATTATATCTTTAAGACTGAGCAACTTTCCATGCATCTTTCTGAAGAGTAAATCTATTAATCAGCTTATTTATGTATAAATAAGCCTCAACACCTCCATGACTCCTGGAACTTTCCTATTTTCTATTTGATAGTGATCAGTGTACCAGCTGGTGAGCATTGTTGCAAGAAAACAACCCTGCCATTCTCTCTCATTTGTCCAAGGGGTTAACAAAATTGAATAAGCTCCCTAAACCTGAGAATAATTACATGCAGAATGTTTGAAGTAAATTCTGTAAAAATTTATTTTCCCACCAAGACACTAGGATGAATTTCCCATGTTGTTCAGTATAGTCTAAGCATGCACTTAGTGATTTCCCTGACAGTCACAGGCTGGTTCAGAACACAGTTAATGGATGGCTGTGACCTGGCTAACAATCCTTCTCCATGCACAGTGTCCTAAAGCTTATTTACCTTTTGCTGTCCCTCTGATGTTAGCACAGCCAGTTCCTGTAAGCTAGCAGTTTGCTAAACACCCTCAGCAAAGAACATACTTCAGCACCCACTGTTCTAAACAATATTCTGTTTGCTCATTAATATTTTAGATTTCCTGTCTCTTTTTTTCCCCTTAAAGCCATCTTAAGTATTAATGATTCTGAGATTCTCCTTGATCTGTGTGTTTCTCAGAATCTTGTACGTGTAAGGATGTTACTGTAAATGCTCTTTTGTGTTGTTTGCATCCCTACTAAGAAAAGTGTTGTTTTTTGCATGAGTGTGTTTATTTGCCTACGTGCTGATGGCATTTTATTTTAATTGAATGTAACATTTGTGGCAAGTATAACTTAGTGACATGACCATGTATGTAGCACAGACCAATTGCATTTTCCATTCTTATGGTGGGTTTGGTTTTCTGAACGTGTAGGTTTTGATCAACATGCAGCTCATGTCTGGAGACCCATGCTTCAAAACGTAAGTGGGTAAAAAAAATCTTTGTGGGGTGGTGGTTTGGTCGTACATCCTTGTTGAGAATTACACTGCTAATCTGTGGTTTTACATCTCTCCAATCTGACAACACTACTTAGGGAAAAAAAAAGGCCATGAGTAAATGGAATGGTAGCTGAATAATGGCTAACATGGTACAGTTGCCAGTAGAAGTATCACAGTTCTCTTTGCTGTTAAATACTTGGTTTATTTTCAAGCACAGAATACTAGCCTGTTCATCTGTGCCATTAAAAAAGAGTAAAATCTAAAAAAACACTGAAGGGGAACTATTCCCACAGAACCTTATATAAATATACTTGGGACAGGGTGATCTGACTAATACATGTGTTTGGAAAATGTGCTGTTATACCTTGATTCACAAGTCTCAGATGATTTTAGGACTCATCTGAGAAAAAAAAAAACAAACCACAAACCAACCAGAAGTGTGATATGTCTTAGTACAAGAGAAAGCACTTAGAGATATTTAGTTAGCAAAGACATTATGCAACTTAGTAAAAGATGCAAGAGGTAACATCTGAGGGGGGAGGTAGCTAGGAAAATACACTGCTATATTTGAGGACCCTTTGGCCTCATTGTCCTCAATCTGTAGTTGAAGAAATGTGATGTTGCACAGGTCTAGCTCAGGTGGTTCACCACAGGAACTGTTCCATGTTCCCTCCTTTGCACCACTTTCTCCTCTCTTCTACCAACTGGAAATGAGAAGCATAGAACACTATAGAATCTCATCTTGTGCTTACTGAATAAATAGCAAGAGGGTTTTTCTGAATTTCTTTGATTTCTGTATCCCTACACCTCTCTGACTTTAGAGTAACTTTAGTAGATTTACTTCAGAGTCAGACCTGTTAACAAATACATCCCTGGCACTGATAATTTCTCAAAGGCGACTGATCATTAGCCTTGTATACTAACAACACAAAGCATTCCTGTTTTTTACTGGCTAGTACTGAAGGAGTTGAAATTAGTACCTAAATAGCTTTCTGACTCCCTAGGAAAAAGATCTCTAACTGAAATTATTCAGACTTGGCATTTTCTTCCAAACTGGTGATATAACCATTTCCTGGAACATTAACTTTCAACACAAACAGAACAAAAACTTTATCTAATCCAGATGTCCTTTGTAGAAGGAAAAATAAACCTTAAAACAGTTTCACAATCTGGAATCAGCTACATATTTTATGAGGAAGCCTAGAAGGCTTGATGTTTGATCTGGGGTGACATCCCTGGAAGCATTCAGGTCTTGCTTTCAGAAGTATGTTAGGCTTTTAAGTCACACAGGCACTGTATTTCTAGAACTGCTTTTTTCTTTCTTTCTTTACTTTCAAACGTGACAGAAGAGGGGATGTTACTGTATATAAAGACAGTGACTCATTTACTGAATATGTCAAATAAAATATGTCAACAAATACCCATTTGTATGCAGACCAACAGTCTGTTCCCGAAGTCAAAACCAACACAGCATTAAAAAACTGTAGGTAACAGCTTGAAATGTATTTTGTGTGTATTTGCTTGCAAGAGAACGTTGATTTCACGTTGTCATTTTCTAATTAGTTTCTTTTGTAGGAAGTAGAATTTAGAGGGGAATACATGGAGATGATGCCACAGGCTCCTCTGTTAGGAGTGGGAGGGTTATCAGTCCTGAATCTCCTCCTGTACCATGACAGAGATGAAGCAAAGACAGGACTATGTCACAGCTCACAAGCCAAGTTGGCCAACTGTTCTTCTGCATGTTTGGGGTTTAACTTACCATTCAGTCATGTATGTACATGACATATAATATATGTATGGAAACACATATTCTTAGCATGTGAGCTGTCCTGTGATTCATACACTTAAAAAAAACCCGTGGAAACACATATTCTTAGCATGTGAGCAGTCCTGGGATTCATACACTTAAAAAAAAAAACTTCAAAATAAAGACTTGTCATTCCACCAATCATCAAACAATGGAAAAGCCTTTCCCAGGGTCCCCAGAAACCTGAGTGACTGAGGGCTGAGCAGATGAATTCTGTAAAATGTCCTTAAGTTTAACAGCAAAAGCTGGTGGGGTTTTCCTCTTCAGCAAGGCACTTGGCAGCATGTTTTCAGGAAAAAAAAAAAAAGTCTGTTAACTTTGACACACAGTCTGAATTATGCCAGCTTAGTTGAAAGGAAAAATATGTGCTGATCAATTTGGAGGGATTGCAACAAAAGTACAGCAAATCTTGACCACCTTTCTCTTACAGGCCTCCTTCCACAGCAACATCTATAGCAATTGCTGGAGAATCAGAATCTTTGCATGAAGACAGGAAAGGTGGAGAAAACTTAAAAGTAGTACATCCAGGTATAGCAGGTATGGACTAATGTTCTTGATTTCTCAATGCTTTTATAACTGGCGTCATAGTTTCAAGGAGATGTAAGAAATATTTCAAATCTTAAAGGGATGCTCATGGCTCACAAAGGCACCTTACATAGCTGACTAGTTTCTCCTCCAAACACAGCTGAAATTCTCTTAACCACTGTTAGTTTTTCAGTCAGAAAACATCTGGCACAACATTGTACTATGATAATAGAGAAAGTATGGTTCTCTTTAACTCTGGCACAACATTGTACTATGATAATAAAGTATGGTTCTCTTTAATGCTGGTCAATTCTTTAATGTCTTTCTAACCCAATGGTACTCACTGTTTTACTCAGATGTTATGTTTTTTTAAGGAACACATCTTCATTAACATACATGGTATTTTTGCAGCACTTAAATCTCCAAAAGGTTTGCAGAAAACCAGTGTCAAGTCTCTAATCCCTCTGGGAAATCTGACATTTGACTCTAACTAAGATTGCAGGCAAAGTACTAATAAAACTGGCTTTAGGAACACTACCTGACTTGCATGTGTTTCAGATCTGTCATCCAAGAGTGCCTCAGTCCCAGATGAACTTGGTGCATGTGGACATTCCAGGACATCCAGCTATGCAAGTCAGCAGTCAAAACTGTCAGGTAGCTGCTAACAGTTTTGTTATGAGCTGTTGGGGGTTATTTACTTTCACAGGTTTAGACAGTGGAAAATAAGTATACTTTATGTTTTAGAAAGGGTTTGAAGTTGAAAGCTTCTTCCTGGGAGTTTTGGGTGTGGTGAGGGTAACATTTTTTCCTTCTTAAAATCACAATGAATTGTGGTGAGGGTAACATTTTTTCCTTCTTCAAGTCACAATGAATCATCTTTTTGTAAGTGAGACAGCTTTTTGCCTTCACTCCCTCCAGCTAACATGTTGGAATGAGATTTTTACCTGTTCCATGTGTAAAAACAACTTGCAAATGGAGACTTAGCTCTTTTTACCTGTTCCATGTGTAAAAACAAATAACTTGCAAATGGAGACTTTGCTGTAAAAGCTGAAGGGGATGATGTTTGTCATTATATTTGCTATGAAGCAAGAGTTATTTAGAACAAAAGGAAAGCAGGATGTGCTAGAATAGAGAACCTGAAGTGAATTGCCTACTTGATGTATGCACATGCATTCATGGGGCTATGGAAGTCTCATTACAGGAAGAGAAAACAAATTCTGCTTTCAGGATGGACCTAACCCAATTCTCCTGCACTTTTCCAACAGGATACAGCACATGTCACTCTAGATCATCCAGTCTGTCTGAACTCAGCCACAGGAGAAACACCTCAGTGGGGAGTACCTCAACAGGAACTGGAAGTATTCTAGAGCCATGTGAAGAGACTGAGCCACAAGTAACTGAAGCTAATAGTGATACATCTGTTAAAGATGCACCATCAGAAAAACAATGCAGGTACACTTAACCTGAAAGCCTCATCTAGCAGAAGTAAAAATAAATTACTATATCACTTGTAAGAGCTCTCAATACATTTATTTTTGCAGACATCCTGTAAAGCAAGACTCTGTGGAGTCACAGCTGAAGAGGGTTGATGCTACCAGAGTTGACGCTGATGATATTGTTGAGAAAATACTCCAGAGTCAAGACTTCAGTTTAGACTCCAGTGCAGAAGGTATGGAGATAAATAAAGAGGCTTAGGGAAAACTGATGCACATTACAGGCCTTAGGAAAATCCACTCACTTCACAGACCCTGTTGCTTGTAACAATATGGATTGTACACATGGATCTCTACATTTTCTGCTTCGTCCTGTCTCCCAGAAGTTGAAAACACCCTTGTATGACTCAGGGAACTTTCCCAAATAATTACTTCAAGCCTAAAAAGAGCAGGTACAAATCTAAGCCAAAGGTAGTTCCTCCAACCTACACCATGTGAAGTTTGTTTTTTCATTATTTACAATATTTGCATCTGAAAGTATCAGCTACAAAACTGGTAGATTTAAAGCGATGTAGTTTTAGCTGGAGCAGCCTTAAAGAAAGCTAACATATTTTAATTCATTTGTCTTTTAGAAGAAGGTTTAAGATTATTTGTGGGCCCTGGTGGAAGCACTTCTTTTGGAAGCCATCATCTACCTAACAGGTATGTAGCCTGAACAACTAATCCATAGGCAATACTATAGAAAAATCCATCTTATACAGCAGTTATTCTGTATTTACATTCTTGATCTTTCTGGTTTTCTCTTCTATATCATTTAAAAGCACCAAAAGAGCTAGATTGTCAGGTTTTAAAATAAAACACCTAGATTAGTTCCAAAACAGAACTGATGTGTCAGCCATAAGAACTGTAACTTTCAGAGCTTCTCAAGAGTCTCAGTTGCAAAGTTTTCAGATGTGAGCAGTGTTTCAGTATGGACACAGGAAACAGACACCAGCTGCAAACCTTAGCTCCATAGCTTTACTACATTACTCCAGAGTGGAAGTAAGTTTAAAGTGTTTTACACATCTACATTTTACAGTATCAAACTTTTATGTCTTCCTAATAACAAGCCCAATTTTCTTCAGTTTAGTTTTTCCCACAAATCCTGTTTCCATTTGTTACATTATTTGTTTCAATAGGTTGTTCATCTTTCAACTACTGGTAGCCCTAAACTCTCTCCATTGATAATCTGCTTCAGATTATCATCTTGTTGCTGTTTTACAACCAGAAATACTATTTTCTTCCCTAAACCCTCTTCAGAGACTCTGACATAACACTTGACCTGAATTAATTATTCATCCTTTCAGATGAGAAACCATGAGAAACAAGCAGAACATGCTGTAATACCATGTTTCTGCAGTCCTACATAATTCAACATTTTTATGCCAAGAAATTAGCACAGCATGAGTATTTCAACAATTACTTCTGAAGTTAGGTATAAAGGCAGTTGATAATGTGTTGAATGTAAGAAAATAACTGCATTTTACACATACAATAAATACTTAGGTTTATATAATAATTCATTGGCTTATTTGGGCACACCAATGTCTTTCTAGGATAACATGTATGGGTACAGAACACACTACAGCAGGATAGAGAGACCTGTCCTAATTCAGTTGCCTGAACAGTCCAGGCACAATATTATATTAGAGCAGAGTTTGCCCTCTTTATTTTTTACAATTTTACTGCAATTTGCTGTGGAAAACCATCCACTATGGTCTGTCATGTAGGGGGTGAGAGAGTTTTGTTTATGATTCAGTGTGAACAAAAGACTGGAAGACCTTTCTCTTGTATCTTAACATAAGATGACTATCACTTACTGGTTTCCTAGATATATTTATCTGTTTATGTACAAAAAGAGTATTAGCTGCCTATGATAGAGCTGTGGGGAGGAGTACCCTAAAGATAACATTTAAGAAGTTATAGAGAAGTCCTAGAGTATCTTATTTTTCAGTTACATTACTTTTCATTCTCTATTTTGACTGTAGTATAACACAAAATGCTGCAGTGCATTAAACTGTAGGTGATTCAAACATGGTAATGATGTGTTTTCTACCCTCCACATTTAGCCATTCTGGTACTTGCTGTTTGGGTGGGGAGAGGTTTGTTGGGGGTGTTTTTTTGGGGGAGTTGGTTGGTTGGGATGTTTAAATGATAAATTGCTGATGTGTGATACTTGCTGTTTTGCTTCCATTTAAAGTGATATTGAACTAAGTTCTTTGAAACTTTCTTTCAGAGTAGGCTCTGGAGCATATGAGCAGGTGGTGATAAAACGCTAAACTAGAATGACAAACAAGAGGGAAACCTGGAGCTCTGGTGTTGATATTTCTGGTTTTCTTTGCTCTGTTGCAAGAGTTGAGAAAGACTAAATGGACTCCATGTGATCTTTTTCTGAAAAGTGTCCAAGAGTTGAGAAAGACTAAATGGACTCTGTGTGATCTTTTTCTGAAAAGTTATGAAGTGTTCCTTGCTCACAGAGCATCACCTGTGGTATGAAGGCAATGTTTAGCTACGTGTACCTTGTGAGAGCACTTGGACTGGTTTTGTAAGCTCTAACTGATGCTAGTGGAGTTACTTTTTAATTTGTATGAAACATTTTTGGAAGCATGATGGAGTCCCATTTCAGTATTTTATACAAGAGATCACTTGTGGTGATGTACTATGTAACTTCTTTTCTAAAGAAGCTTCTGAAAGTTGGTCTCACATGAACCTGCAAGAAGTAATTACTCAATTTGATCCTACCTGACATTTTAGGCTTACAGAAGCTGCTTACTTCTATCAAGTTATTACCAAGTCAAAGTTCTGGCCTCCACAAAACAGCCCAGCTATGTTTTAACATAACCAAAACCTCTTAAAAAGTATTGAGCACAACTTCACTGTAAGGTTGAACGGCAAAGATCAACTTCATGTGCATTTTAAAAAAACCCAAAACTAAATAGACCTTAAATCAGTTGTGTTAACTGTAAATGAAGTCTACAGGTGTAAATGCATCAAATGTGGCATATTTTTTGTTTCAAGTGATGCAAAAAGTGAAAACACTAAGGCACAGTAGTGTATCATGAAGAAAGTTGGCTTGATTGTTCAACCTGGAGGACAAAAGCTGCTTCCACAGAAACTCACTTTGTCAATGCATGAACCTTGAGATTCAATGGGATGGTACTGTTTACAAACCTTGTCAGTAGTTTACTACCACTTACATTTTTTTTACTGTAGGTTAACCCTTCACAATTAGTGTTTTGTTTGTGTTTTGAATGTGCCTTGTGGGATTGGGGAGGTACAGGGAGATGAAACAGTTTAAGCTTTAAAACTAGGTAAACACCTATACTATTATTAATATAACTTGTTAAGAGAAGCACTTTATTGTAGACATACTCTGCACTCTGAAAAAGTCTTAGTGTGCAACAGCTTTGTTGAACACTTCTTCCTTCACTATCTGTCCACTGTTACATTGAGGTCAATGTACTGTATTTAAATTTGCACAAATAGTGACTTGCCTGACAGGCAAGAAACAGCTCTTTACACTTTCATTGAGAATATGAAGGAATCCATTTCTAAAGGGATGTGTTAGGTGACAAGTAGGTGCATTTAATTGTAACCTACAAATGACCTTCATTTTGTTACATTTAGTGGTACTGTTTATCAGTAAGGCTTGGAATAAATAAAAATAGTGTGGCTACGTTGGAAAGCTCTGAATGCTTCAGTTCTGCTCAGAGTGATGTTTGACACCTTTTTATTGAAGTAGGCCATATTTAATGGGTTAAATTAGGCAAAGCAGACATTGTTTTCCAGAAATCCATAGTAGAATTATTAAACTAATTTTTATTTTTAAGGAAATTGAAGATTTTAAACCTTGAGTACTGTTATTGAATATGATGAATATGAGCTACTTCTCCATTTTGGTACTTTAAATACTTTTATTTTCTACTGTTCATTATAATCTCTTTAAAGTGTTTAGTTTGGTAAAAAATAAAACACAAACTTCTATTTTAGCTGCTGTTAAAAGAAGTGTGGTATTATGCATTTCTGTTCACCACAGGAATTTAAAAGAAACTACCTAACTGCTGGTATACAACTATCTCTCAGAACATTATAGTTTCCTTTGCTGTTATGCAACTAATTCGTACCAAAAAAAGTCCTACTACAAGCCCAAAGATGCAAGAAATTTGAATTGGTTGCTTTCAGTACGTATTAACACTGCTACACTTGTTGACAAATCTCTTCAACCCAGTGCTAGTCAGATGGCAGCTCACTCAAGCTTAGCAGGAGAACTACATAGTTTTTGAAAAACATTGTACAGCTCCTGCTGTAATTCTCAAGGGGATTTCCATGGCCCACATTTGCATTTTATCTTAAAAGACACAGCCAATTGCTATAGATTAAAGATCTTGTTTACTAGAACCAATTAAAGGGCAGGTCTTTTAAAGAGTAGGGAAGTTGACATGGAAATCCAGCTTTTCATAAAACCCTATCCTATTAATTGATTCTTCTGACTTAAGTTACAACTTTTTATGAAGTGACTCTCTAATTGTGTGTATTTTAAGTGGAACATAACCTTCATATTTAGGTGGTGTATTTTCTTTTTTGTAAATTGTGTTATACTGGAGCCTTCCATTCAGTGAACTGTTGAGGATGTGTTGGTGGGTTATGGTTTTTTGTAACTGTTTTTAAATGCAAATCTGTCAGACATTCAATAAACTCATGCCTTCAGCTTGGAACCTGTTCCAAAACAATTCTCTCATTTTTTTTTTTGAATGCAAAAAATTACAAACTGAACTGGAGGTTTGTGTCCATTTGAGTTTCTCTAGTCTTCAAGCTTCACCTCTGCAGATTATTAGATTTCCCCTCCAGTCCACAAAGTAGTGGCACCATTACTAGTACAGTTATTTATCTGCTTCCTGGGGAGGAAAAGTAGTATGTCAGACTTACACAAGGAAAAAACCAATTTTAAAGTGTGAGGCATATTGGTAGGTTAGCAGTATGTCAGACTTACACAAGGAAAAAATCAATTTTAAAGTGTGAGGCATATTTTTCAGGCAGACTCCACAAGTAGCAGCATTTGGAGAAAGTGAGGGCACTGTGCATGGTCCCTCCTCACTTGCAAATGACAAAATGAATCCTCCTCATCTGAATGCAAAGACCTACTACTCCTTAAACTTTCATACAGTCTCTGTAACTTTGAAAATTACCTTCTTATTTTTTTTAAAAAATAATTGTGTGTATTTGTCTTCTCATCTCTGCATTCAAAATAAGCTAACAAGCTTTCTAGTACTGCAGTGAGTATCTTTCCTTACAGTAAAAAAAATCTACATTGGTGAAAATTGAAGCTAATTACAATACAAACTGTTTAGCACTAAGATCAGTGCAGAGTAAGGATTAAGAGATCTAACTGTACCATGTGTAACCAACTTCAGTCTCAGCTGGTTCAAAAAGTAAGACAATTTTTTCCAAAACTTCAGCAGAATATCCTAGAATTTCATTTGTGGGTTGTTGTCTCTCCTCTTGCTTTAGGAGTTAGTAGGTTCCTTATAGAACAAAAGGCAAACAGAATCAGCAAACAAAGTCTTCCAGTTAAGGACGTCTTTTTAAAATGTTTTTGCTTTCCTACTTCTGTTTTCACACTGTGTTGTAGGAACATAGATAAGGAAAATGTGTCATTTCCACACGGTTCTTTTTCTCATCCAGAAGAAAAACATCTCATGATATAATGACTATCAGAACTACAAATACTGTCATTGAACATGAGGTGCATTTTGTGAACCTTCTGACATGAGAATCACACAAAGCCTAGCATGGGAAAAAAAAGAACTTTCTTTAGTTTAACTACAAAAAGAAGAAAGTCACAACCACTAACCTAACGCAGATGTAACTAAATGATCCACATCTGATTCATCAACAGAATGACAAGAAGCCATGGCAGACAGGACTGAAATGCATCAAAATTTTATGGCTGTGAGATCTATTTGTTTCAGAAGTCTCTGGGGAGACAGAAAATTAACTCCTCTGGCTCTCACAATTAGGCAGTTGGGTTTTATTTATTCAACTGAGGGGATATTTTTAGAATTGACTTACACCACTTGCTCACTTTGTTAGTATTAGTTTAGAACACTGATCAGAAATGTTCTATGCAGCTATTTTGACCGTAAACCAACAACAGCTATTACCTTATTTCCCTTTATCCAGGGTGCTGCTGTTTTCTTGGTGGTTTTGTTTGAGGGTTTTTTGTTCTTGTTGGATATTTTTCATCTCTTATTTGGATTTTCCCCTTTAGAACAATTTAATGTTGTGCTGTTTTGAGATGTGTGTGCCATCTCCTGGTCAGGGACATTGTCACACTCAGTCTAAAACATTTCATGTTCATAAACCTGCTCTCAGCAGCCTGATCTGAGACATCAGAATTGCTCTTAGTTTCAAACGAGTTTAAGTAGAACATAATAAATACTGTGTTTATTCACAAATATACACAGGATCAGTATCAAAGAACCAACCTGATAATGAAGAGCTATGCATGGTGAATCCTATCAAAGTGTTTAGCTGCTCCTGAAAGGACAGGTATTTCAGTACTTTAAAGACATTAAAAGAAATTAATTTAAGCCAGTGGAAAGCTAACACACAAAATAGCTTATTTTAGTAAATGCTACCAGTCTGGATTAAAATCTATATATTCTACACAGCACTTCTGTATACGGTATGTAACAGCTTCTTCAGTTTCAGTACAGATACTGAAGGACACTGAACACACAGGGACCAACATCTGTAGTTTGACTTCAGATTTTCCCCAGGAAAAGCATAAGCAAGAACGTAACAATTTGTATTTGCCCCAGCTATCATTAAAAACTGAACTCTCTTAGAAAGAAGGACTCCTCCTTCATGAATGCCTTAAAAACTGGATTACTGTTTAGGCCCCTTCACATCAGTCCACCAAATATTCACATAATCCATTTCCCAGGTGTAGCTCCAGAGCCTTAAGGGTATAATGTCTGGAGGAAAATCAAGCATGTATTCATACACAGTCATGTCTGCTCACGGGACATTCCTGTAATTACATGTTACCTGAACACAAAATTCAAGGCAAATACCACTGCAAATCTGACAGGTCTTCCCTTTCCCTCATTTTAAAGCAATCATTGCTACAAAGCACATGAAGCACAAAGTTTCAAGAAGAAATGACACCGGCAGAAGTTCCCTAGTCCAAAAATCTTCTAACTATAGTAAACTACCTGGAGATATTTTCTTATAACCAACCAATGTTACTCTCCAACAGCTGTGCTTATTTATTTACCAACTCATCATTTTAGCTGTATTACCATACCACCTATGGCAAGTTCATATCACAATGTCAAAACCAGTGAAACCATCCTAAATACACATTAAGAATGAATTTTAGTTAATTCTTGATACTTAAATATTGTGGGTTCTATAATCCATGTCTATTTTTTGTAGGAGAAAAATCTCCCACAAAAGAAAGCTTATTAAATAAGCATTTTTAACCACTCTATGACAGAGCACTGCAGATCATGTGGGTTCTATAATCCATGTCTATTTTTCGTAGGAGAAAAATCTCCCACAAAAGATAAAGCTTATTAAATAAGCATTTTTTAACCACTCTATGACAGAGCATTGCAGATCACTATTCTCATACAACTTGCATCAACCTGTTAGAGATTCTGTACCATTTCTCTATACAGAGAATTACACCTGCCTTTTCCCTTTATGTCCGATCTGTCACCTTAAGAATTTCAAGTGTATTCCAAAAAATTACAATTACACCTGCCTTTTCCCTTTATGTCTGATCTGTCACCTTAAGGATTTCAAGTGTATTCCAAAAAATTAGAAGGTAGAATACAGTCATTTTCTTTATGAAACAGTCAGCCCTTACAAAGAACTTTTTCTTTTCAGGAGGTTGTGAGACTTGCATATTTTCTTTATGAAACAGTCAGCCCTTAAAAAGAACTTTTCAGGAGGTTGTGAGACTTGCACGTTTCACACACATGAAGTCAGTTTGATAATACTATTAGCTCATGGAAAGCTGCCAATGACACTGAGCCATGCACAGAATGAGGCCTTTCACTTAACCATCTCTGCACTCACACAAAACATTCAGGTATTAAAATTATTGGTACAGAACACTGGGGTACACAAAGAAACTAAAAAAGCACTGCAGCGTGCTGCTTCATTATTCCTCTATGTGCATCTTGAGCATCCCTCAAAATGTTTGTGCAAGTCCATCACCTGTCATGAACTTATCATGCACTTACATATACAATTCAGCTCTACCTAAGAAAAAGTCCTCATGGCCAAGGCAGAAAGCTCTGTTTTCTCTAACACCCCTGCTTTGCCTTTCTGCTGAATGTGTCAGCAAAACCTTTTGGACAACAGCTGCTCATGAGAACACACAGTTTCTCAGGTACACCAGGGCCAGGTTAGCAAACACAATGACAGAAGAGTTTTTTGAAATTTGAAATTTTATTTTTTTTCCAAAACAGAACAGGGAAATATGCCAGTTTTATATTTCAACATTTGCTTTTCATCAAGGTTGAGTATGTGCTCATCTCCAAAAAGGCATCTCTAAATTTTATTCCATTCAGAAAAAACTTGCTCTAAACCTATGTCTGACCCACATTATCTAGCACAACATAGTTCTGTGCCATCATCACTATCCTTAGAGCTAACAAGAAATTATCAAAGCCAACCTAGTAATGAGAGCTACAATCAGGTAACAGAAAGCAAACGAAAACATTGAATTTTCTTAATGAGAATTAATGAATTCCTCTTAGCCCCTATGAGTTACTGCTGCCTTTGTCAGGAGCACTCAACTCCATGAGAGAGGTGCTGACACACAAATACCACTGGCAGGAGGTTTAGACAAGATTTTGTGGTTCCAGTTAGCATACAGAACACACCATTTGACAGCTACTAAACCCCACTTTATTTACTTCAACTGAACTTAGTGTGAGAAATCTGTGATATAATTCTCTTCATATTCAGTACTGAGCATCACAGCAGAACCATCACTGCTCATGGTGACCTTGCCTGCAATAAGTTTGCATAACTTCTCAAAGGTACCACAAAGTCGATTCACTTTGGGAAAAGAAAAGATAGTTGTGAGAGGTACATAAACCACATTTCCACTGACAAATGGTTCCATGTTTTTTTCAACAACCAATTTTCCAAGAAAGTCCGAAAAATAGTTCACTGAAGGTTGGAATTTGGATTTTCTCTCAGGACCATCACCATACTCCTCATGTTTTGACATGAAACGGTGCTTAATGATTTGTGCTGTGAAAGTAACTTCATTGACCACTGCATTCTGCAAGTACTTCTCATCTTTAAGGCTTGGATACACTGCTTTGAAGACCTTTATAACATACAAGAACACATAAAATGTTTATCACTATGACAGGCTCAGATTTTAACATTTGCTGTCAAAAACATAAAGCTTCTAAAATGTGAACATCATTTTTTATTCAATCCAGTTTTGCTTATTAAATGTTTTCAGATAATAGAAAACTAGGCAATGTGAGTTGATGTTATGTCTTACAACTGCAATGGCAGTTAATGGAATTTTTAAAACAAATAATTAAATCAGGCTTCTACCTGCAAGCTACAGTCACAGATGAGGCAAGGTGAAGCCCTGCAAATCTTAAGCTCATTCCCATCAGTCTCTTACTTTTCATATTACTCATTACAAGGCTCTGGTGACAGTTCCACAGCTATGGAGATTCTGAGCTGCTTCTGAACTGCCATCTGAAAACCAGGACTATATTATGTCATTTATTTTTCAAAAGATACACTGTCAAAAATGCTTTTTTTGCTTTTGATTTTTCTATGTATCTGAAAAATTTGTCATTGACAACAGCCCCATGATAAAAAACCCAAATGATTAGAGGAAAAACTATAAAAATAGTATATGTGGTGGAAAGGAGAACTGTCATCCTAAGGGTAACAGTATGTTAAGATAAGAATGATTATCCATATTGTTATTTAGCAAATACCCTAAAAGGTAAAGAACTTTATACAATTAGAAACATCAATTATACAATGAGAGTCTCTTGATCTGATGGTGTTTGATGGTCAGAGTGAAGACTGGATAGTAGTCTAAGGTAAGAACACCTTCACTGGTAATCCTAGACAACTCTAAAGGAAGAAAACAATACTTACTGTTTTGTAAACTGCTTCAGTGGGTTTCTCAGAGTGAACAGGTTTACTGGTTTGAGGATATTTTCGAAGAAACACACCTATTTGGGTACAAAACCCAACACTCTCCATTCCTGTCGGTGGGTGCCCTACACCAGTAAATTCCACTGAGTAATCATAGCATCTAGCAGCCTCTAGGGCCCTAAGAAAGACAAATTATTCCAATCATACAAAATATTCACCTTTTAATGTGACAAAGATACATCCTTAAGGAGAAACAAGACCCTGAGCCTGGCAATGATGGAGCATGATTTCTCTAACAATACTCATACACCCAAAGATAAGCACTGTCAAAACTTGCTGAATCAGAGGTGTAATCATATGCCTACGACAGTCTGAATCATTTAGTATCAGTAATTTAGGCATCCAAATGTTACTGTCATTTCTAAAATATGTGCATAGAATGTTCATGCTCACAGTTGCTTAATCACCAAGTTAAATGCACTGAAAGTGAGCTACAAAGTACTGATTTCCAAGAACAAAATTATTTGAGAAGAACCCATTGAAAACATGCACACCCCAAACCCACAAGAAACCTGTTAACAGAGGATATAAAAGTGTGGCTTGTTGTAAATGTGCAATGAGTAAAGTCTACCTAACCAAGGTTACAACAGTGTACATGACATGCAAATGAGAACCATCTTGTAGCACATCAGCCAGCAAGAACAAAGGGACAGGGCAGGGAAGTAAAATGACACTACCTACCTGCATCATTCCCCAGGAAAAAGCAGCAAACTAAATTAAATTCTCGTGTATGTTAGAAATCATAATACTTACATGTCACAACACAAAGACTTTTTGTGTTTGCATCTCAAAAAAACCTACTCCTTCAGTGATATCAGTATTTTTAATTCACATGTATCTAAGAGCAGAATCTAAACTTACTCCACTGGGCACCCAGAGCTGTCAGCATATGATGCTCAGAAAGCTTACCAGCCTTGGAATTGTGCTTGGTTCCATTCAAATTTGTGGTCTGGGTGCCTGTATAAGATCACTCCTGGTAACAAAGGGTTAAATTCTGAATTTGGAGTACTAATCACAACTATGTCTGGAGCCATGAAACCAAACACCACCTCGGGAAACTTCTTCAGCTCTGACTCTTCCAGGTGTTCTATTCTGAAAAGAGTAAGCTTGTGTTTAACACACCCTCCTGTATTTTAATCTTAACAACCAGTCAAAAAAACCCAAACCCATATCTGTACCTTGTAATTTTACACTTAGCTCTGCACTGTTCGCACCGCCACTGTGGCCAAGTGGCAGAGCAAAGGATTTGTCTGAGCAAACCTCTCGCAAGAGGTTGCTCAGTATGGTTAATTTAAGCACAAGTTAGAAGACGCCACTCTTGTACCTGCTACTTTTCTGCTTGAAAGGTTTGATCAAGTTTGTTTGGAATATGGCCAAAATTCCAAACTGAACCCTAATGAACATAGAAAAATTTAGTGTATTGGGCTAATACTCACAGTTCAATACATGTCACCAAGTCAAAACCAAGCATGCAAGGATCTTTATGGGCAACTGAACCCTGATGCAAGGTAATGGTTAGGGATCTTTCAGGTGGTTGCAAATAATCAATAGGAAGAGGAGACAATGTATACCTACAAAAGTATCAAAAATACAACATTACAGAAAGGACCTTAAGACAACATAAATTGTGCATGGAAATGAACTAGCTAACACCCTACATAAATACCTTGTAAATCTCAGAAAGGTTAACTACTTTACATGGATATAAAAAAGAATATCCAATACCAACACTTTTTATGACTATCTACAACAGGACAGAAAGAGCAGAAGAGTTAATCCAGGAGCTGTCCTTCATGTTTACAGAAATTTCCACTACACTCTTAAGTCACTTGGAAAGCTACTTGTAAATTCTGACAGTAGTTCAACTCTAAACACACAGCAAATCTGGTTTAGAAAGGCTTTGCAGGGTTTTGGGGGAAGTTTTAGGCAAGCATATTACCTATTTTTTCCAAATAAAACACACTTCAGAGGCTAAAGTACATGTGCAAATTTCATTCTGAAATACTGCATTAGACAAAACACACAATAAATGTTAAATATAAAAGGTTACTTCTCTTCATTCTTGAGAAAGAGCAAGTGATAATGTCAGCATCTAAATCCTACATATTCACTGAAATTGTATTCATCCAGTCATACCACAAGGTCAAGACAAATAGAAACCTTAAAACATGATCAAAGACCTTACATTTTCTCTTCCATTACACTTGCACAGATATCTAGCCCAGCTAACACTTCAATGCAACTGCAGAATTTCAGCATCCTGAGAAGTGAGCCATCAGCACATCCTAAATCTGCCACCTGTAAATTAGATATTAAATGATGTGTAAATGCTACATATTTCCAAGCAATTTCAGAGACTTCCACAAAATCAGAATTCCCTATTTATGTCAAAATAACTTTTAAATGATAATGCATTTCACAGTCATAGCTAAAATTTACAGTTGCAAACCAGCAGGATAGAGGTGGATTTGAAAATTATTTTAAAAATATCTATGTGAAGATCCTACAAGATTTTTTTAAATAATTAACCTTTTGTTATTACAGCTATAAACAAGTACATGTAGAACATCCCACTGACTCTGGAGAATGCCTTCCACATCAGTAACAGCAAGGTATGATTTTAAGTATCAAAGCTGCAGAAATTTTCACATTCACCACTGCTTTTCACTGAACTGTTCTCCATCCAAAACACTGAGAACAGGCTCATCAGCTGCTGCAAGGTTCAGAGACACCCGAGTACACAAACCAACCCTCACTGTTTTTTCCCAGGCTCAGTCAAGGCTGAAGGACACTGCTCAGTTCTCCATGTGAAAATCCTGAATAGTTTCCATCCAGCTTATCTCTACCCTATCCCACATCAGTTTCACAGTTAAACACTGAAGACAGAGGTACTTAACCAGGTTTTGCACTTTGGGAAGAGCTGCTGAGGGATGAAGAGGAGATAACATGTTAGAAAAGGGCAACCACTACACTATGTAACTTAAATAATTAAACTTTTCAAGCGTTCAGGTGTACTGGGGACACACACATGACAACACAGAAGGGAGTGATGAGACCTTGAGAAAGTGGAGACAAGTTAGCCTCACACAATCCCACACTCCCACTGTCACTTCTCATCTGAGAACATCCATGTGGATGATGAGATAAACCTGATACCACATACAGAACTTACAGCTCTAGAAAGCAAAACCAAACTATAATTGAAAGCAGCTTGAATCAGATTCCTCAGCATTAAATCAAAACCAGAATATCCCCTGTTCTCCAAAACAAGCTAAAGCATTTCTCTTGCTTAAATATGCTCCTCTTCCCATCAAGTAAAATTAATTACATGCAGCCCTGGAAAACAAAATATGATGACCAAATGTCTGCTAAGGCAACCCAGTTTTAACAACAGCTCCTCCCCTACTCATTTGCTAACTGGGTCAGGATGTTATTTACACATTTTGTCTTCCTGAAATACCCAGTATCAACTTTTTTTTCAAATTTATAAACTAAAGAGACAAAACATACCAACCTTCTTGGGCTTGTATTTCTCCACTAAATCTTTAACGAACTGGTAGCGTTGTTTGTACAAAGGAGGTGTAAATTTAGTAATTTGTGCCATCTCTTCTTCTTGAAAGTTCTTATCCATAATATTTTGGTAATGCTAGAATAAAGTTAACTCTGTATTCTGAAGTGCTGTATAACATCAAATTATACAGTTTGCTGTTTTCAGAGGTGACTAACTCACAGCTAAGCAGGGGTAGACCTGATCCCAGTTCTATTCAAGAGAATGACAAAAACACAGGAATTAGCAAACTTAGGTCCTGCGTTCCATACACATATACACATATAATTATGTAAATTACCATGACAATTCACGCAATTATGAAAATTACCTAACAATTACAAACTATTCACAAACCTAAAAAAGCGAGTAGCATAATCTGGCACTCTCCATCCAGCACACGTGGACAGAGACTACAACCGAACTCTACAGCCCAACAGCACAACCAAAGCAGCTGGGCCGAACCTGAACGCGACTCAATTGCCCCGTAAGGGCTTTAGGGAGGAGCCTGAGCCCTGCCCCGCTCCGCTCCGGCCCCTCCCGCTGCTCCCTGCGCCTGCCCCTCCACCTCGGGCCGAGCAAGGTCTGCCCGCTGTCCTGCTCCCCACCCCTGCCACCCTCCCTCTCTGCTCCTGAACGGTGGTGGGCCGGGCGAGTCCCCAATTTCTACACTAAACTGATAGGAGAAGTAGACTGAAAGCAGTCAGCAGACTGAACAGTTAAAGCTGGAAGCATAAAGAATAACTTTACTCATAGCACTATTTCAGCTTCATTAGCAAAATAGCAAGGATTGCATAGTACAGACAAGAAGCTTCACTAATGGCATTGTTTTAGCTTAGTTAGCAAAACGATGCATCTTATCTATAAGACAGTAGAACTAACTAGACTCAAACCTTGGCAGTAAGGGGAAAACTAAGGCCATGTGGGGTGTGGAATGAAGAAACAAAATGTTCAAGATAGAGGCAAGGTCAGCAAGGAATGCAAAACTGTACAAAGGGGTAAACGGTTGCATAACAAAGGTGTCCAAAGGGCACTGAGGAAGAGGAGACACTTCATCTTCACGACCACCCAACGACCACCAGGACCATGGGACTGATGCCAAGAGGGAGGAGACGGAGAAGTATATGATAATGATTTCCTATTACTAATTATAATAATAACCACCAATTCCTGGAAAAAATGAATATATATGAGCATTTAATGTATATAAACTGTGAAGTTTCTGTCCCTGGTTGCACAAGTTTGGTGGAGCGATCCCCCTTTGTGCCCAGTGCTGACTCAACAAATACCTGCTGCTCAGAGATACAAGTCTGTGGGTAGTTCTTTTCCAGCCTTTTCCCAGCATCAAACCCCCCAAAATCTCCCTACACCTCCCTTTAGGTGCTGCTGTGTCTGCAGATGGGTTTGCTGCACTCTGTAAGACAAACGTGCTGTTGCGCTGGTTTGGGACCTGCAGTGAATGAATCTTGCCAGGCTGAGTGAGGGAGATACCACAAAACTCAATAATATGGGTATTTCTCAGGATCTCATTAAGTCTTTTCCACACTGGAGCCAGATTTGTTGCTCAAAGGGCAGCAGCAGCTGCTTGGATACATGGTGAAAAGTAGAAAATGTGGCTCAGGATGTCCTGTTTCTGTTCACAGCATGGAAAGCATTTGCTAATTACAGGACAGGGCTGCTAGTTGTAAAGGATAGTGTGTAGGGGAGGCCGAGGATGCTGGAGGATTCTGGTGGCAGTGAGGATAGAGATTGATAAATAAGTTAGACTGTAATTCAGTGCCTCTTTAGCTTTCAGAAAACACCAGGAATGCATATGCTGATTCTTGGCTAAGTTTGAAGTTTTGTGGGATGTGGCCTAGACAGAGCAGGGGTAGCTAACAGAAGGTTAGCTGTGCTCTTCACACAACAGCTAGGAAAGGTATGTGAGTGTGCTTGCAACCTTGCAGTGCAGACAGCTCTCTCAGATATTTCAAGTTACTGGAATGATTCCATTCTGTTTTGTTTGGCCTTCTCTGTTTTGCAGGGTTTGGAATGCAATAGCAATTACCTTTTCATTGTGTTCATTGGTTTATGAGTAGTAGAAGTAGGAGCTGTCTGTACAACTTTACAATTGTTTTTCTTCTGTCAAAATAAGGAAGCACTAAAAACACTGTGTGCAAGTAAGGAGCCTGAGAGTTGCTATTTCAATCAGTTTGGAATGCAAACAGGCTCTAAGTTAAGTGTTGTAATACTATCAATCTTTAGTTATAGAGAAAACTTGTTTTAAAGTGTATTTAACACCTGGTCAATTATTTTTGTAGGATTTCTCCTCATTAAGATTTACAGACCTGCATAACCCAATTTGGCCATGCACAGTGAGTATCTTTGTATAGGAAATAATTTCCATTAAATCCCTTTGGCTTGCCTAGTAATTTGATTTTTACCTTTTCATTAGGTTGCTTTTTAGAAAAGAAAATACACTGTAGTTGAAATAATGTTTTTTATACCTTGTGCAAAAATAAAAAGATAGGTTGGAGGCTCTTTGTTTTATATCCCAGCTTCTCTTTTTTGGCTGTTGAGTAATTGTTTAACCTTGAACTATCATTTAGTACCTATGTCTCAACTAGAAAATCTATAAACTGTGCATAATATTTTTTACCTCAGAGAGAGAAAGTTTATTAATAGAAGTCTTTAATTTTCCCTGCTTAAAATGCTATAGATTCTGGTATCCTGTGAAATTCTAATTAGAGTTCAGTATGACTAATTCTTGAGAAGATGAAAAAGTTCAGGGAAGAACAGTAGTAAAGTTATAGAGTAAAATGCAATTCATAACACATGGTGAATTCATACATCCTACCAGTTGGTGAGAATTCACCCTGAAATGTACCACTGTAAGTGAATCCTTCAGAATCACCTGATGTTATAATTCTCCATATCAACAATATCATCACAGAGATCTCTTGTGGTGTGATTGTTCCATATCGGGTGATGAAATTGGATTGGAGAGCCAATCTTTTGAAGACTGGCAACATGAAAGAGATTGCCAGTTCTATTTGAAGCTTTAAACTGGACAATCTGCTTTGACTCCAGGGTGTTTTTGTGGTTTGGTTTTTTTTCCTTATGCAGTGATAGATCTATTTAACAGTCTCAAGGCATCACAGAATAATTGATGCTGAAAGGGACTTTTAGAGGTTCCCCTAGTGCACACCCTGCTTGAAGGAGGTCTAAGTCATTGAGGTTCCTCAGAAACTGGTCCTCCAAGCTATTTTTCACATTACAATCTGTCATTTCAAACTGAATATTCAAATTGCATTTAGTTCAATATGCCCACAAATGAAGCAGGTTATTTTTAGAGAAACCTGTTGCTTTTGTACCATAAAGCATCTCACAGTATGAAGTCATGACTTGTGAAATCTTCAGCTGCTGAGACTTATTTCCTTCAGTAAGTGGGATGACAAAGGCAACTGTATGCAATTCCAGTACTTTCTCTTTAAAGCTGCATTTCTTTTGTGATAGCAAAAGAAATCTAACACAGCACTGCTGCCAGGAGACACTAGTTCACAGTGATACTTTACAGGAACACACATGCAGCAATACTGCTTAATCTATAATTGAAGAGCTAACAACCACTCCTATCAACCCAAATTCAGAGAATGTTTAGTGACTTAGGTACTGCTATTTTTCTCCTCAGTTTCAGCTAACAGATTCGGCCTGTTTGAAAACAAAACCAGAACTGATCTGTGTGAATGGGAAGTGAGATTATGCTCCTGCACACAAATTGCCATCTTCTTCCTCCATTATAATAAGATACACTCCCTTGCAGTTTGCAACTGAAAATCACCTCACTGTGGTGTTTTTGGTTTGTTTTTTTTTATTGCAGTCAGTATAAAGACCAGCTGGGATGCCTGAGGCGGAAAAATGTAATTTGGAGCAAATGGATTTATAGGTTGCAGCTATGTCAAAGGGTTCAGCATGGCCATCAAAGAGGGAATGCATAAGAAGTACAAAAATGTTATCTTTTGCAGAGGAAAAAACACTGAGCTTTGGAACATGTTGACTAAATTTCTAACAGGAAAAGGCAAATGCATGAAAACACCATTTGGGTACTATAAGAGAAATACAGGCCGACTTGAAGTGATTATGCAAGATAAATTAAGGAAATGCTCAGAGTTAAGGATACCCTAAACAACAACTACAAACCCACTAGGGTTCAAAGGAAAGTTACTACTCTGGCTAACTGCCTCCAGAACAAGATTAGTTCACTGCTATAAAGACACTTTCTTAGAAGTAGTTTTTGTGACCTTTTTCTAGGTTGTTCCTAGAAAAGGGGAGTGAAGAGCCTAGATAGCAGAACAGGAGCTTAGAGAAACTAACTGCCAAGGCCCTGATAAGAACACTCTTCTGTTGTTGTACAAGCTCTAAGGTACATTAAAGGGCAGAGTAACGAGGGTAAATTACTGTTTCTCAGGGCTTCAATGTCTAATGAAGAATGAAGGTATTTTAGCATTACTTCCAGCAGTATTTATCTCCTAGTTTCTAAATTAAAAACCTATATTAGTTTTATGTACCACACATGTAGAAATGCTATTTCCATGGATGCTTTCATACTAGCTTCACCCTGTACCTGTATCCTGATGCACTGATCAATGGACAGCCCTTCTCTGTCTGTACAATGGAATGTATTTTGCCACGTTGTGCCCCCTTTGCAGTCATTTCAGTGCATTTTCAGTTACATTTTTACAGTCATTTCATGTTTAGAATCCTTCTAAATCATGCACTGTACTTTTGTACTTCAGGTTTAAAGCTTGACACCAAAGTACGTAACTAGTTGTGTTGTGGTTCTTTTTTATTTTCACAGGCAAAACTGGAGGATTTTATCTTTTCTGTTTCCTGTTAGCATTTACACCTGCTTGATGTTGCTGTGTCAGTTAGTGGGTTTCAGTGTCTTAGTTAAGACCATCACTTTGTTAAACCCAGCTGTTTGTTTTCAGCTGCATTCACCTAGTTCTGCTTGTTCCAAGCCTCTATGAGCCCGCACCGAGCAGCAGGGAAGAGTTGTTTCTCTTGGTGTCTGACAAAGTTCTCAGCAGCTGCTCAGGCCTCTG